GATCGTTTCTCCAGTTCTGCAAACTCAACTTCTCGTAATTCGTAGAGGACCGAGGCATAGATAGCGTAATCTTCGATGAATCGACTGTATTAATTCAGACTGCCCAGGAACGACTGCATAGATCGCAGTGATCCGGGGAATGGCAGATCGGTCAACGATTTCATGTCTTCGGGCTTGCCTCTAAACCTCCGATCGACACTCGGTGTCCCAGATATCCTACCTTATCCATGCCCCAAAAGCGCTTGGCTACACTGATCGACAAATTCCACTTATCACAAGCTTCCAACAGATCTTCCACTCTTCGGCACATTTGATCCCATGATTCCGCTGCGATCATGATGTCGTCGATGTATGATCTCCGCGTCGATGTGTGATCTCCGTCCCAACACCGACTCGCGATCAGGATCGTCCGCGATACCGGTCCGGAACACGTCCGTTGTAGACCCAGCGTCGCCGGATCGCGAGATCTTCCAAAATCCATACAACGCGTTGTCCACGAGGCGCTGATACATCTGAGGGGCGTTCTTAAGGCCAAAATGCATGCGACTTCATTCGAATAGTCCAAACGGAGTAATGAATGCTGAGATCTCGCGAGCCCGATCCGTCATGAGCACGACCCAGAAACCGCTGGCCATATCTAGCGAGCAGTACTATAGTGCTTTATCAAGATCTTCTAGCAGATCGCTGATCAGGGACATAGGGTAGACCATCAATCTCGTGAGGCTGTTTACCAACTTGTAGTCAATGCACAACCTAATAGCCACGCCGTTACTCTTGCGGAAAATCACGATCGGTGAGGCCCATGGCGATGTCGAGGGTCGGATGATCTCGGCTGCCAGGAGGCCCTTGATCAGGCCTGCGACTTTTTCACGAAATCGCGTGGGCACTTTCCGGGTTCGCAGTGCGATCGGTTTCGCATTTCCCACATCGATATCACATACGACGCCCTTGGAGGCCGGGGGTAAGGCGTTCCCTTTGCCAATCAGCAGATGTCGCTTCTTCCAGATTATCTGCCGAAACCTCTCGATCTCCTCGGGTGTGGCAGATCCAGAGTCTCCCACCTGCAGATCCTCCATGCTCACCTTCGCAGTCGTTGAGATCGGGATTTTGGGGAGAACCGCCAGGTTTCCTTCAAGATCTTCCGCTGAGAGATCGCCACTGTCATGGTAATATATCTCCTCATCGTCCTCGGCATCCTGTGGGGTAGCCGCAGTAGCTTCTTCTGCCGGCGGATCTCGCTGGTCGACGCCCTCAGTGGGGCAGATCGGGAGTTTTGCGTCGGGTTC